CCTTTAGCTATTCACTGCCACATCTCCAACATGTTCACTTTTTGTTCATTTTAATTTTAGCCACTATCTGTTTATTGAAAGTTGAGGATTTAGCATTCTTCCTATCTCTCCATGTACCTCCTCATTTCCTATATCCCAGTTTTTCATTACAATTATATTGTAATTTTGGTTTAAAATAGCATTTAGTATTATAATTTCGACTATAAATGTTATTTACAATTGAGCCATTGTAATAAACTGTTTCCTTCACAACATTGTTTTTCTGGCATTAATAATTTTCTTAATATTTTTTCCTTTTTATTTTTTTTTAGTTCCTGTATAGTACAAAATCTACCCAAGCTCTGTGTAACTGAATGTAGCTTTATAAGAAAAGGGAATGTGCCCTAAGAAGACTCTGTTTATAGAAAAATTTATGTAGTTTTTATGATTGGATATTGTTAGACTTGATAATAAAGATGGATCAATAAGGAAATTGGTAGTTTGCTAGTAAAAATTAAGTAATTTTCACATTTGAATTACACTTTGGAGCAAGATTCTGCTAAAATGGCAAAACTGAATCATTTCATTTTTTTCAACAATTAAGAAGACCTTGATGGTTTAAATTAATTATAAGGACAGCTAAAATTAATCAGACAGAAAGCTTCTCTGGTGGGGAAGAAGTAGTCTGTGCTGTCAGCATCAAAAAATGCTAATGTTATAAAAGATTACATTTGGACGTTCCATAATTTTTTTTTTTTTTTTTGACCTCTTGGAAAGGAAAGGTAATTTTACACTTGACCTTAGCCAAAAGGCCGAGAAGCGATGGGGAAAGGTAATATTAGCTGGCATTACTTACGAATGGCAAGCTGATGCATAATCAGAGATGCATAGCAGTGATGCTGCTGAGAAAGGAAAACACACAGGGAAGAATGAAGATGATGGAGTGATAAAGATTTGAAGCAGTGGTAGTAGCTATTAAGAAGCCAGTGGTAATGAGTTAAAAGAGAACACAGCTCTGCAGGTTGAAGATGAGTACTCCAGCTTTGGATATAGTTGTGCAGGGATGGAATGGTTGAAGCAACAGCAAGTTTCTTGAGACTGAGGGAACAAATCTGAGGTTGAAAGAGCTTGGGTTTTTGATCATGTAATTGCTGTAGAACCATCCATTTTTCCTAACTTATTTTTATGTGAAAATTTTCTTTTTGTTTTAAAATTTTCTCTTTGTTTAGTTGAGGGTTCTGTTATTTGCAAACAAAGCATTGTTAAAATATTTTTAAAAATTCAAAATATTTTTAAAATTCAAAATATTACAATAAAGATTTTAAAATGTGTGTGTCTCCTGTGCTTAAGTGTGAGTTTCTCTACAATAAATAGATAGAAGTGGAATTTGGGGGCTGTAGAATATATTCATATTCAGCTTCAGGAGATGTCAGATTGCTTTCCAAAGTGGTATTACCAATGTATACTCCCACCAGCACTGTGCATTATATAGATTATTAATAATCATGTTGCTGCTCAACCAGCTGTCCTGTTGATATTCTTTGTTGTTGTCTCTGCAATATTGGAGTTTTTTGGTATGTGTATATATATGTGTGCATGTATGTATACATATATACATATATTCTATATATTCTGGATAATGATCTTTTATATGCATTGTTTGTATATATACCTTGCAGATATCTTCTAGGGTATGGATTATCATAAGCTTTATTTATGATGTTCTTTAGAGTAATACTTAAAGAATTTAGTTTAATTAAAATAAAATTTTCCTTTAAGATTTGTGTTTTCTGTGTCTTATCTAAAAAAATCTTTCTCTTTCCTAAAATCATGATACTCTCCTATAGTGTCTTCTTAAACTTGTTAAGAATTTTGCTTTTCACAATAGGACTTTAATTTTCTTGGAGATGACTTGTTTATGGTGTGAGGAAGAACCATTTTTTCACAATAATATCCTCTTTCTAAACTCTGCTTTCTTCCTCTGGTCTATTTGTCTTTCCTTGTGCCATTCTATGATATTTTAATTAGTGTGCCTTTATAAAAAGAAGTCTATGTCTATCACCTTGTTAATCTTCTGAATTGTTTTGGTTGTCCTTGGGTTTTTGCTCTTCCATGTGAACTTTTATGTGAGCTTGTGCAGTTTCACCAAAAACAAACAGCTACCAAAAACAAACAGCTACCAGGATTTTGTTGACACTGAATTAAATTTATATATATACTTGAGAATACTTTATATATCTTATGCTATTTATCTCATCCATGTAGGCCTTTCTCCAGTTTTTGTAGTTCTTCTTTACTGACCTTCAATAATGTCTTATAAATTTCTCCTTTTAATGCTCTTGTTCTCTTTCTTTCAAGAAGCCTTGTAATTTTTGTTTATAATTACATTTTCTAAATTTTCATTGGAGGAAATTTGATTTTTAAAAAACTTTCTTGAAATACAATATGTATACAGAAGAGTACAGAGTATTAGTGCAATGAATTATCACAAAGTAAGTGTATTTGTGTTACCATTACTCAAATCAAGAAAGAGAATATTACCATACTTTTTAATCCCAATTATTGCCCCCACTTTCCTTTCACAAAGTTTAATTTTACCGATTTTTAACTTTATATAAATAGAATTATACGTGATGATTTCTTTAGTGTTTGTCGTCTCTTGATCGATCTCATATATGTAAAGTTTATCTGTTAATGTCTGAAGCCATTTCATTTTCATGCCTGTGTCATAGTTCATTGTAAGATCATTTTCTTTTATTTGTTCATTCTACTGATGAATGTTTGACCTTTTTCTTTGAACTATAATGAATAATGATTATGTGAATTTTCATGTTCTTGTCTTATTGGTGTCCCTATATATGCATTTCTGTTGAGTCTATACCCAGGAGCAGAATTGCTATGTGAGTGAACATGCTTATGTTCAGTCTCTGGCAGATCCTGCCAAACAGTTTTCCAAAAGATACCAATCTGCGGTCTCACCATCAGTGTATGCAGTTTCCAGTAGACTCCATGTTTTCGCTTACATCTTTTATATTCTGTTCATTCTGGTCAATTTATAGTGGTATCTAACTGTGATTTTAATTTGCATTTCTCCAATAACTACTGAGGTTCAGAATCTAATACATTTCTTAGTAATTTAGCTATTCTTTTATGAAGGGTCTGTTCACGTTTCCTGCCTCTTTTTCCATTGAGTTGTATCATGGTTTTCATACTGATTTGTGGAAATTCCTTATGTATGTTTGACTGGTAACATTGTGGCAATCTTCTCCCAATCTGTGGCTTACCTTTTTAATCTCTTAATGATAACTCTTGATGAACAGAAATTTCTTAATTTTAATGTAGTATACTTTATCAGTCTTTTCTTTTATAATGTTTTTTGTGTCCTGTCTTGGAAGGTCTTGAAGCTAGTCTCCCAAATAAATCTCGTAGATGTGCACTTTTCCAGTACAATAGCTAGTGGTAGCCACATGCGGATAATAATGAGCACTTGAAATGTGGCTATCTTGAATAAGATGTTCTGTAAATGTAAAATACATGCCAAATTTAAAAGTCAAAGCTTAAAAAAGAAAGTAAAAATCTGATTAATGATTTTCATATCAATTATATGTTGAAACAATATTTGGGGCATAGTAGGTTAAATAAAATAGAACATGAAAATTACTTTCATCTGTTTATTGTATAAAACTTTGAAATTACATAATTGACTCACATAGTATCTCTATATTCTACAACTGTGCTGTCCAGTAGAACTTTCTGTGGTGATGGACATGTTCTACCTCTGTACTGTCTGTCCCCTATGGTAACCATGTGGCTATTGAGCATTTAAAATGTGGCTTAGCATGACTAAGAAGCTGAATTTTTAATTTTATTTTAGTTAGTTTAAATTTAAGTAGCCACACATGGCTAGTGGCTGCCATGTTGGACAGCACAGTTTGGGGACATTTTCTATTTTAACATTTATTATTTTAGACTTAGGTTTACAGTCCATCTGTAATTGATTTTTACAGTATGAAGATTGGAGCCAAGTTTTATTTAGTTTTTCTCCTATGTAGAAATCTAGTTGACTAAGCACCAAGGAATAGAGAATCCTTTCCTATTTTTTCAACTCTGTTTTGTTTCTTTGGTATGTTTGTTTTTATACCACCACCACTTTGTCTTTAGTAACTGGTAGAGTAATTCCTTCTGTCTTGTCCTTCAAGAGTGTCTTGGCCTTTCTTGGCCCTTTCTATTCCACATAAATATTAAAAATGCCTCATTAATTCCCACAAAGTTACTTCTGGGATTTTGATTGAGATCACATTGGATCTGTATCTCATCCAATCATAAGCATGATATAGTCATTCATTTATTTAGGTCTTTTCATAATATGAGTTTTTTTTTAAATGTAAAGGCCTTGCATATTTCTTGTTAGATTTATTCCTAGCTATTGGCTATTCTAAATGATACTGTTTTCTAATTTTATTTTCTAATTATTGCTGGTATATAGTAATATAGTTGATTTTAGGTTATTGTCATATCCAGCAACTTGACTAAATAAACATATTAATTTTTAGATACTCTTTTGGATTTTCTACATACCCAATCCTGCCATTTGTGAGTAATGACAATTTCATTTCTTTCTGATTTTTATACATTTTATCATTTTATTTCATCTTATTGCACTGACCAGGACCTCAAGATCAGGGATCAGCAAACTTTTTTGTAAAGGACCAGATAGGAAGGAAGCCAACAATTTCCTGTATAAATTTATAGACTCTTATGTGTCCTGCTTAAAGGGAGTCAGAGTAGTCTTGTACATGAGTCTTGAGCAGTTCGTATTAATTCAAAGTTCTGTCCACTATTTCAATAAATTAAAAGGAGCCATTTTTTAGGGAACTGGAAAGGGAAAGAATGATTCATAGCCATGAAAGAAATGGGGTAAAATGTTTGTCTAGTGGATTAGCAACTGCTGGAAAGTTTATAATTATTTTGAATGTGCCTAAGTATACACTTATGCTTGCCTCTCTTTTAAATCCCTTTAGGAAAAATAGAAATGAAGGTACATATGCACACAAAATTTTGCCTCATTTGTTTGCTGACATTTATTTTTCATCATTGCAACCATTGCCATGAAGACCATGACCATGGTCCTGAAGAGCATCACAGACACCATCGTGGAATGGCAGAGTCGGAGTCAAGCAAATTTTCAGTGCTGGATGCTGAAAATGAAAAAAAATATTATATTGAAAAACTTTTTGACCGTTATGGTGAAAATGGAAGATTATCCTTTTTTGGTCTGGAGAAACTTTTAACAAACTTGGGCCTTGGAGAAATAAAAGTAGTTGAGATTAATCATGAGGATCTTGGCCACGATCATGTTTCTCACTTAGATATTTTGGCAGTTCAAGAGGGAAAGCATTTTCACTCTCATAACCACCAGCATTCCCATAATCACTTAAATTCAGAAAATCAAACTGTGACCAGTGCATCAACAAAAAGAAACCATAAATGTGATCCAGAGAAAGAGACAATTGAAGTACCTGTCAAATCTGATGATAAACATATGCATGACCATAATCATCGCTTATGTCACCACCATTGTTTGCATCATCACCTTGATCATAACACTACTCGCCATTTTTCTAATGATTCCATTACTCACAGTGAGCGTGGGGAGCCCAGCCATGAACCTTCAACAGAGACCAATAAAACACAGGAACAATCTGAAAGTAAGCTACCGAAAGGAAAGAGGAAGAGAAAAGGGAAGAAGAGTAATGAAAATTCTGAGGTCATTACACCAGGTTTTCCCCCTAACCATGATCAGGGTGAACAGTATGAGCATAATCGGGTCCACAAACCTGATCGTGTACATAACCCAGGTCATTCTCATGTACGTCTTCCAGAACATAATGGTCATGATCCTGGTCATGGACACCAAGATCTTGATCCTGATAATGAAGGTGAACTTCGACATACTAGAAAGCGAGAAGCACCACATGTTAAAAAAAGTGCAATTTATTCAACTGCAAGTCACAAAGACCATAATGAAGATGACCGTCAGCATGAGGTAAGTATAAAAAGATAGTTGCTCCATAATTCTCAGATAATTGTGGAGCATTTTAGGTTAAAAGAGAAGTAACAGTGGAATAGTCAAATCATATTTAAACTGTTACTAGGTAATGTTCCCCAAAATAAATACATTAAGGAATTAAAATCAGATTGAAGATTTATATCTGGATTTTCATTTGCATTGGTCATTCTCAAATTTGGGTTCTTCAAATCTAAGTGTGTAAAGGTTAGAAAATATATCCCTTATTTTCAGTCTTGTGACTTTTTTTGTTGTTGTTGTTGGCTTATGACTTTTTTTTTTTGACTCCCTAAGTTAGTTTTCATGTTCTTACTTACTCTTAGCTGGTTTCCAGATATTTGTAAATTAAAGCCTTTTTTGTTTATTCTTTCCTCTTGGGAAGTGACTTGACAGCTTCTTTTTCATAATTATTAACTTGCTCTATTAACTATGGAATAATAGTTCCCTGTCATTATTATAAATCCAAATCAGGTATTTTGCACATGTGGTAGATTTATTTTCTCTGTGTCACTTTGTGATAGGGCCTCCTTGCTCACGATAGTCTTTTCTCGTGCCCTTGACAAATTGAGTGAATGCAAAAAGATATAATAGTAGACAATTCCAACAGTAATGAGGTGATTATGTTTTTCTTCTGAATTGTCATGCTTTTTTGAATGCATTTGATTGGTTCCTTCTTAATTTTTGACCATTTACCTTAAACACATTTATTTTTGTTTCATTAATGATGTATCAACACCTTTGTTCTAATTTTTATCACTAAATTTAGAAAATATTGTTGAATTTGTTCATATGTATAAAAAGCAGCACCATCTAATGTGGAAAATAACCTGATCCTTTGCTGTTTATGTCTCTATTATTGAAGTATGTTTTGCATCTGAGTAAATATTTTTGTTTCTTCCCTGGATAAATCATTAGATATTTGGTTTTTAGCAGTTATAAACACTAATTTAAAAAAAAAAAAAACATTTAAAAATCTTAGTGTACTTTTAAAGGAATATATTCATTTGTTACAATGAATAATAACCTTAGAATTTTTTAAGATTATAACTGGACATTATCATTAATGTTTATGTTTTGTATCAAACTTGTGGGGTTATCAGACCCATTATCAGACCCATTATTTTGTATCCTTGTAGGTCTGATGCATATTAAGAATTTTCTCAGGATTTTAGAAATGTTTATGCATTGGATATAGGGTAGTACCTCATCTTAAGATCTGAGAAGAATAATAATTTTGTATGTATGTATGTTCTGATATTGTATTTTATACATAAATAACATCATATAATGAGGCAACAAGTCAATAAACAAGCATGCAACATGAGTGGACATGTGTGAAAAAGAGGCAGTACCATCTTTTTGTCTTAATTTTAGATATTTGTTTTTACTATATGATGGGTTCAAAATTGTTTGCTTATGTGTTGTCTGCTTTCTTTTGGTTTGTGCTTAAAGTACCAGTGGATATAGCTGCCGTTTTTTCATCTTCCAGTTTTAGCATTGAGCTAGAATTCCCCAGTATAATACTCTTTTGGAGTACCTTAGGCAATGAAAATGTCCATTATGCTATATTTTAATATAAAGTTATTAAAGTATTCTGTTTAACAGTTTTACAAGTAAGAATATTGAGTAATTGATAAATGCATTTTGACTAGGGAGGTGATTTTTCTCTTCATTCCTTAAGAATCTTGAGAATATAGTTGCGAGTCACTCTTGTTGATAGCAGAAAGATATTACCTTTCAGGTATTAGAGTGGAGAAATGATTAAAATTCATAAAAGTCTTGGGTGATAAATTGAATGTATCCCTATTATGAATTCCTATCCAAAAAGCTTTGTTTGTAGTAGATATCTGAGTATTGCATATTATTTTTCAATATATTTAGAATATTTTTATTATACAGTAATTTCTTCTTCTGCATAATTTTCTTAATTCTCTTTTACTTAATTTTTAAAATCAATTTCCTTGCAGTGTTTGAACGTCACTCAGTTGTTAAAATACTATGGTCATGGTGCCAACTCTCCGATCTCACCTGATCTTTTTACGTACCTGTGCCCTGCTTTGTTATATCAAATTGACAGCAGACTTTGTATTGAGCATTTTGACAAACTTTTAGTTGAAGATTTAACTAAGGATAAAAACATGGTTCCTGAAGATGAGGCAAATATAGGGGCATCAGGTAAGAAAGATTTAAATTTTTTCTCCTCAAAATAGTTTTCTGTACTTTTTTTTAATGTAGTTGAATTAGAAAGTAATTATAAATTATTGCCTTCCTTTTGGTGTCTTTCAATATGTTTTAATAAGATTTAGATATGTGTGTTTAAAAAAGATTGGGGGAAGAAAGGAGGCACAATACAGTTTACTCATCTTTTCTGGCATTATGGAAGAATGTCTTGATAGGAAACTAGATTACACAAGGAATACAGGTTTGTGATAAAGGGATCCTCCTTGATGGGCAAATATTTAGTGGGTCCTCTATACTTATTTGATGTTCTAATTGCTTAACATTTAGCAGGATTGAAAGCCTCTCTTGGAAAGCTAAGGTTGTAAGTTTTTGAGGAAGTAAAAAGGGTAGCCATTGTAGTTCAGCTCTTGAAATGTCTCAGAAATGCCAGTGTTTGGTATATGAACTTTATCATGGGCACTTCTAGAGAACTTCAACCAAAGTAAAACCTAACTGTTTTAAAACGTTTTTTTTAAGGCTCTTTTTTTCACATCTAGTTGGCTAAATAGCTCCACTTTGGTGTTTGCAGGTACTTTGCACTTAATATTTCCAAACCTTACTCCACACACAGTTTGTAACCTCTTGTTGAATCCCAAATGACATTAACATCCATGCTTTTGATAATATCTGAAAACTTTTGACTTTTTTGTCTTATGTTTTTGTTTTGTTTCTTTTTTCCTTTGTGTAATCAATTGTCAGGTCCAATTGAATCTTCTCTTAAATGTCTTCTAACTCTTGACTTTCATAACTTTAATTCAGGTCCTTGGATCTCTATTGAATTGTTGAAATAAATTCATAACCTTTTCTGACTCTGTTCTTGTCCCCCTTGTAGGTCATTCTTAGCACTTAAGTTAGATTTATCTTTGTAAAATGCAAAGAGGATTCTCTGACAGAGTTTTTTCTTTTCAGTGATAGCTAACATTTTTTATTTTTTATGTTAACAACCACGAATTGCAGGCACTATTCTAAACTAAACTCATTTACTCCTCAAAACAGCTCTCTGAGGATGTTATCCTAATAACTTTGCCAAGATCTCAGAGTTAGCAAGTGTTTCATACTAGTATTCAAGACTAAGAAATTTAACACTTTTGCTATCCATGTGATAAGTATTTTACATGAGTTTTTTCTTTTCACTAAATTTTAACAATAATCTATTAAATTATTACATGAGGGAGCTATTATATGATTCTTGTTTTTAAAGATAAGGAAGCTGGGGGTATAGAAAAATTTAGTAACCCGCCCAAAATTTCCTGACCTAAACAAATGATAGAGCCCATCAACTCTAAGGTTTGTCTGATATATCCTCTGGGCAATTAATCATTCTGCTGTTATTTTCCAAATTTAGTTAATTCTGGTATCATCTTTGATTGTTGCCATATGTATTTACACTATTTAATATTTGTTATTAGACCTCTAATATTTCTCTTTATAATTTTTTATATTATAAGCAATATCTGAGAACATGGATTTGATGCGATGTGCTAGTTATATTTTTTTTCCTCATATACTTTAGAAAACTGCTTTATGTTATACTGTTCAAAGTTCAAAGTCCTTTAGTTGGCCAATCAGGCTTTCCAGAATATAATCCCTGCATACCTATCTTTCCACTCTTATCCCCTACTATTCATTTCTTTCTTCTTAGCTGTAACCATAACAAACTCCTGATAATAGATTATACTCTTTCTCCCTCATTCCTCTTTGCCTTTTCACATTCTAACCCACTCTACTTGACTGACTACTATGATACCTCAAAGATTCAGCTCAGGGATTAGCCACTCTGGGATAATTTACTGATCATCCTAGGATTAATTAAGTTTCCTTTCTTGACACCATCATAGTACAGAGCTTGGGGGATCTTAATAATTGGATTAGTTATTTGTTTTTGTTGGATTTTAGTTACTTAAAGGAAGTGACTGGGTCTTTCATCTCAGCATCCTTAGTGCCTAAGATAAAGGGTACTTTGAGCAAACAGTAAGCACTCATATTGATCGAATGAATTAATTGCTTATTATTAGCCTATAAGCTTTCCGTTATAGTCCAGGACACTTGTTGAAAATGAGTCTTTAAAGATTCTTATGAATTTATCAGTCAGTCTAGTGTACTTAGATAATATAGTATTCTCAGAAGGAGTGGGATTTTCATTAATTTCATCAAGTGCGAAATCATGATGAACACAATACTGGTTGAAATTCTCAAAACATAGTGGTTCTATTGCATAGTCATTAAAATGACTAAACTGATATGTGTGAATATGGGCTAAAAACAAGTCTGATAAAAAATGCAAAGGGCAAAATAATTTTAAAATTTAGTGTAGTAATAAGATAGACATGTTTAAGAATATCACATTTCAGTATATAAGAGTTTTATTTGGGATTGCAATATTCCTTAAAGCTTGAAAGAGTACACATAAAAGGAAATGCTCTCAATACATAACAAAGTAAGTCTCTTAGGTACCTACCTATTCTTGGTTAATTTCTTTGCAATAGGAAGCTTTAGAATAGATAAATTAATTACAATAGCCTGTATTTATTAAAACTTTTCCATGTCCTATTCTGAACACTTCTTTAAAAATATTTAATTTAATTTGTTAAACTCGTGAGAATAGACACTTTTATTTACTTTAGTTTGCTGAGGAAAGGAGGTTTTGAGAAGTTAAATAACTGTCCCAAGGTCACAAATTGCCAGGTAGCAGAGCCTGATAGGAGCTAGAATATTCTCCACCTAAAGCCTATAATTGCTACCATGCTCTTAACCTATGCTGTGTCCCACTGCTTCCTGCTAAAAAGGTTCTTAGTATGCTTTGCTAGAATGTGACAGGGAGATAAAGAGAGTTATGTTTATTTATACTTAATGTTTTAACAGATAATGCAGACATAGACAGGAAAGTGATTTAGAGGTAAATATTGGTATAAGTAAGTATTGCTGTAAGTATAGATTATTCAGTAAAAATAAAAAAGTTAAAAAATTGTCTAGATAGACAGGTTGGATTCAGTCTGGTATGATCAGTAAAGGCCGAGAAAGTGAGTCCATACCATAGATTTGAACTCTGATCTTTGGATAAATAAAACATGTCCCCTTTCATGACTTCCTGTTCACTGATATTTTGTAGATGAGTAAACACCTCTAGAGCCACGGTCTCTCTCAGGTGCTTATAAATTCTCACTGTGACAGGAGAGAAGGGGTAGCTGGGTCTGATATGATTTAATTTAATTAAAGATAAAATTACATTTGTTCTTTACAGGGAAAAATGGAGACTGATGAGACTGTCATAACTAGAGTTAAAATTAATAATCTCATTTGTAAGACTTCTAAAAAAAATTCTACTTTTCACATCAACTGTGGATTATGACTTAGAGTTGTCTGTATTATAATATTGACATTATATATTTTAATGAAGCTGTTGACAGATGCATGACTGTTGAAAATTACAGTTTATTCAATCTGAAAAGCCTCAGAGGATATTGTAGTTGCTTTGAAGACAAATACATTACTAATAGTGAATATCGATTAGGTGTTTGCAGGTGGTTATCAGCATTGTCAGTAATGAAGATCGAATTAATTATGTCCTAATAAATATTAATTGTTATAGAGAATGCCCTGTTAGAAATTATTTTCAATGACTGCTACTCCACTAAGAAAGGTTAACTTGTTCTATATAAATCTCCCATAGTGACACAGCTACTACCTCATTAACTGTTCAAAGGCTGCTGTAAACCAAATATGCTATGTACTGGGTATGATAGAAATCATTTGTTTCACAAGATTGGCTCATTTAGACATAGAGTTGACCCTAGCTTAATTACCAAGGGGGTTTGTGAATAGGTCTCTGAGCATTTCTGCCAATTAAAATGCTGAAACAGTGTAGAAAACTGCCATCTTGCACAAGCTTCCAACCAAGTTAATTAGAAAGTTTCCACAGATGAGCGCTTCTTTTTAAAAGAAAGCATTTTCTCTCTAGATAATGAGAAAGGGAATTGGTGAATAACTAAGCTTGAAGACCTTTAACGTTTTAAGTGACCTAATTTGCAGAATAAGTGAAGCTTGTTTTAGACATTTAGTTTTTTTTTTTTTTATTATTGCATTTGTTATCTTGGGTACAAATAAAGAAAACATTTTCTAGTTGTATTTAATAGTTTGCACGTTGTTAGTTTAAGTTTTATAAAAGAAAGATGCCTTCTGTTGTTTCATTCTTCGGTTTCTGTTTTTATTATTTTGTTTTGTTTTTTTGCTTTATACCAAATTGTGATTGAAAAAGCACAATAATTTGCTTAGAAATCAGAAGAATTTTATTATCTGAATTGCTTTTTTCTACACCTAAGAAATTATGATAGTTTATTTAAGCTTATGTAAATATTATTAATTCTAAAAATATTGGCACGGGAAAGCATTTCAACTACATTAAATTCAAAACAACTATTTCTCATAGGTCAAAAGAATAATACTTGAAGATTTACAAATTAGGAGAATGACTTAATTAAATTTTTAGTGCCAGAAAGCTAAAATTATTATTATTTTTATTTTTTCTCCTCTTTAATTAATTCCTCCACTCCCCCCACCCCTGACCTACGGATGTTGCCGTCTCCCTTTAAGAACTGAATCTCTGAAGGCGGGGCGTCTCTTCCCATGTGCTCATTGCATGCACCCGGGGCCTGGCACCCCAGGGCCTGGCGCACCCAGGCTGTGGACCGTGGCTCCACTGGGGCACGAACCCAGGACCTTCTGCGTGTAAAGCAGATGTGCTAACCACTACACTATGGAGCCACCCCAAATTATTAATTTTTAAATTAACAATCAGTATAAGAAAACATGTATCTATAACAACATACACTTAGGACTGTTTTGTTCATGAAACAGTTGTGATGGAATAGTTGCAATTTTTGGAAAATATATGGAAATTTTCTAAAATGGGAATTTATCTGAAATGGGAAATCTAGCTCTTTACCCCTTATTTTTAG